CCTACTATGTTATAGCTGATCATATAGTACAGATAGGTCCATAAGTGATGCAGCAGGTTAGGAATGTCCTGTAGAGTAGTATTAATATGATGTACCTTTATAAATATGCTAGAACTGAAGTTAGAGTGGGACTTTCAGAGGTGCATCAACTCAGTCCGGGTTAGAGATGGACCCTACCAAGTTCTAGCTGATCATATAGTACAGATAGGTCCATAAGTGATGCAGCAGGTTAGGAATGTCCTGTAGAGTAGTATTAATATCATGCACCTTTATAAATATGCTAGAACTGAAGTTAGAGGTGGGACCTCCAGAGGTGCACCAACTCAGTCCGAGTTAGAGATGGACCCTACCAAGTTCTAGCTGATCATATAGTACAGATAGGTCCATAAGTGATGCAGCAGGTTAGGAATGTCCTGTAGTAGTATTAGTACGATGTGGTACTTTGATAAGTACACAAGAATCAATGTTACGGGTGAGTCTGTTGAAGGTACATTAGGTTCAGGTGGGTCCACAACAGAACATATGTACCAGCAGTTTGAACAGACATGTTTAGGAAAAGTATCTTGCAATTGCACTAAACCTAACCTCATCACCCCAACGTTCAGTTCCATGATTTTTTTATGGATGTCTATATTATGGACACTCACAGTACGATAGGATAAAGTACGCTCCATCGCATCTAAAATAAAGATTTACAATGGAAGACGAGTTCTCCACCCTCGTGTCTCTTTCTCTCGATCAACCCCCGATTGCTCGTGACACTTCATTTCTCTTCTTGATTCGCTCCACTTCACCGAAAGAAATTTAGCCTTTGAGCTTGACCGAGCGACTAGAATCGAGAGATGGAAACAAGGAGGATCCCGGAAGGATCACGTTGTTAATCGACTTGTCCCCTTCTCGATTTTTCCAGCGTGCAGAATCGCATTCCGGTGGTCCATTCAGAGCGAGAAATCCTAATCGTGTCGCAACAACTGGAAACAAGAGGGAGCGCGACGGGGACTTCGAGACTGTACATTATTTATTTCTATAAAGTTACAAGAAGACTATTCCTGAAGAAATTCGAAGAGGCTGGCTCGTGAAGGGCAAACGGGACATTAGTGAAATTCAAATTCCTGTGGAATTTTTCCGAGGTCGATGACCTCGATGTGTGTGATGTCTACGAACAATTGGTGGAGGGTTTCGGTCGTTTAGATACGAAATGCGACACTAGCGCAGGATATGTAAATTTCGATGCCGAGTTTTTGGTAAATCGAAGGCAGAATAAATTTGATACGTTTTAAGAAACAGGAAATTGTCTTTTTTCTTTGTATGCTTATTCGTAGAATATTCTTGAATCCTAAGGTCACGGGGTCACACTTTCAGTTACCAATTTCAGATCACTTTCAGTTACCACTTTAGAGCACTTTCAGTTACCACTTTCAGATCACTTTTAGTTACCACTTTCAGATTACTTTCAGTTACCACTTTCAGAGCACTTTTAGTTACCACTTTCAGATCACTTTCAGTTACCACTTTTAGAGCACTTTTAGTTACCACTTTCAGATTACTTTCAGTTACCTCTTTCAGATCACTTTCAGTTACCACTTTCAGATTACTTTCAGTTACCACTTTCAGATCACTTTCAGTTACCACTTTTAGAGCACTTTTAGTTACCACTTTCAGATCATTTACAGTTACCACTTTCAGATAACTTTCAGTTACCAATTTTGGGAGATAATAAACATAATGTATGGTGAATTAGTGGATGGAGATTATAGGTACAATAGGGCTTGACACTTGTGATGTCATGTACAGGTTAGGATCAAAGATAGTAAGCTGCATAGGTTAGGTTACATAGCTAGCTTAATGGTAGCTTGTGTCTAGGTTGGGACTAATAGTAGCTTGTGTCTAGGTTGGGATTAATAGTAGCCTGTGTCTAGGTTAGGATTAATAGCAGCTTATGTCTAGGTTAGGATAAGCAGGCTACTAAATAGGTTAGGCTGCACAGCTAGCTTACTAGTAGCCTGTGTCTAGGTTGGGACTAATAGTAGCCTGTGTCTAGGTTGGGATTAATAGTAGCCTATGTCTAGGTTAGGATTAATAGCAGCTTATGTCTAGGTTAGGATAAGCAGGCTACTAAATAGGTTAGGTTACATAGCTAGCTTACTAGTAGCCTGTGTCAAGGTTGGGACTAATAGTAGCCTGTGTCTAAGTTGGGATTAATAGTAGCCTGTGTCTAGGTTAGGATAAGCAGGCTAC